TATAGGTTGATGGTTGATTAAAAGATTATATTTGAGATTATATTTTATATTTAAGATTATATCAAATAGGCTTCCAAATATAATATTGGCTTTCTTATATAACTTAGTCTTGTATATTAAGGCTGTAAAATCTTAATGCCGATGTTTCTGGAATGTGCGTTGTTCACGGCAACGTAATACCAAATATCGTTATTAGAACACCGTTAATTTAAATAATAATTAAACCCAGTATAACCATCAATAGGTCATGTTTTGAAAAATAATTTGCAGTTTTTTATGTATAATTTGATTTATTTTCTCTGTCGTTAGAAATTCAAAAATTGTTAAGTAGTGATAGATATGGAAAAAATATTTCATTATTAATTCCTATTTAATTCTGCATTTTGAAATAATTTTACGACTGAATCGGCTACCAACAACTGCACAATATATTTTGTAAATAATAACTACTTTCGCAGACAAATGCAATTCCTGTGCATATAACTGTTGAAAGTCAAACTCGAAGCGACTCATTAAGAGCCTTAATTCATAAGAACGCAATATTTTGAAGCAAGATAACACTTCTATAGAAAGTACAAAGAACGAAATAACTGGATATATTCATACATGAAATGTCACACGTAAAGCGGTAAATTGCTGGATACTTACAGAGAATGGAGAATAGTAGTTAACAATGCAAGAGTCGAGCCAGTTCTGCCGATAGTCAATATTTTTCGATCAAAGTAACTTACTGGCATCCTCTACGGTACATAATACTATGCTCATATGAAGACTACCCTAGAAACTTCACGACAATAATAAATTTTTTATACATATTTGTGTCTTTTGTAATAAGAAGACTTCCTACAAATGAGAATATTTTTTAGTGGCTCTAATCGGTTGGGTGTAAGATGTTAACTACTTGCGTTTCAAAACGAGTTCGTTGTTTTAATTCATTCCAATAGAATTATATCTATAACCACTTGTATTTTAAAACGAGTTTAATGACATATAAGATCGACTGAAATTCGAATGATTGTAAAAAAAATTCCATTAAATCATAAACTCTTTTACTGACCATCATCAACACCGACTAGTGACAGCAATGAGGTACATAGTTACAGACGCTCACCATTTACGGTGCTGCATCAAATTTAAGGAACCAGGTCAGTAATAAAAAATGCAACGTAGATATTGCAGGATAATTTTTATACAATAATAATATAAAATGAATGGCCTATGTCTACTTACAATGTTGCTCATCGGATAATTAACAAATAGATTAGACATTCGCTGGGACTTGCCTCGCCCCACAAGATCCGAACATTCATAAAGTTCCCATTGTCATATACCTTGTAAATTTTACCAGACATTTACAATGATATAGTAGCGTGATGCTCATCCGATATGAATATAGCGAGGCAACGGTCACGCTAATAACAATTTCATGGAAGAACCGACGATTACAATGATTATACAAGTGTGCAGTCAGATGTGAATATATTGACATTGATACATTTACGATCTGTCATAGATATATCGCATGTTATCAGGAGACTTGACTAAGGTGACACTGCTGTCAGGCTAAGCATTTTGCCACAAAGTTGAAGAAAACTCCATAAACATAAGCAAATCTTAACAAAAATCTATCTAGAATTGTATTCTTAAGGCCAGTTTCTGAATGCCTGGTTCTTGTCTCGCAGTTATGGCGTTAATATATGCAACAACCTATCGAACACTAAGGCAGACTCGCTTTATTCGAAGTAAAACATTTCTTTAGCATTACCAGGGAATTGTACGTGCAAAATAGTTTCATACTGATAAAGATTTGATGAATTATTTTAATAATACAGATCGGAAAGATTCTTGGAAACTATCGACACTACAACTTTTTACAGGCGTCTACTGTATCCCACATACTAAAAGTATTTTTTTAAATACCAAGATTACAATGCCCAAAATATAACATTGTTTCTATGGTAACTTTAATGATAATAAAAAATGTATCTACGCACAGGCGACCGTCACATTTTCGTTTACACCGACAAACGTTCGCTTTGCTTTAATCCACATTAGTCAGTGCTCCTGTTCCAGCTTTAAACATATTTTTTCCAACTATCATCGTGAATTTTCTGGGCTAATTTTAGTATATTTATGCGATTCACTTGACTTCTCAATAAAGTTTTGTAATTATTTAATTATAGGTTATTCTATTAAGCTTTATTATTATTATTATTATTATGCAATAAATTTCAATGACATTGAAGTGCTTTTAATATATGCATATGATAGTGCAAGTTGCATGGATATATTATGAATGGTACACATATATGGATGCCGGATGGTGCAAGTTACATGAATAAATAATGAATGATATACATTTTATGGATGCAGGATGGTGCACGTTACTTAGATATATAAAGCACAGTTAAATTTTACGGATTCCGGATGAGGCAAGTTCTATGGATATTTTCTTAGGAAGAATAAAATGCGATATTAAAAGAAATCCAACGCAAAAGAAATAAAATGTGAGTATTGAGTTAACGTTTATACTATATGAAGTAAAATTTAGAAAAAAATGCAAACTGAAACGCATGTCAAATAAATACTTATTCATCAAAAATCACATAATTTTAGTGTTCTAATATGGTTAGCCAGAAAATTTTCTCAAGTAATTCAACATAGACATTATTTTATTCCATTTTTTGTACATTTCAACAATTTTCATTCTTGGAATTTTATTTCGTATGGGAATACGCTAATCTACGGTTCAACCTCATTAAAATGTTATGAAAGGCCGACCAATGAATAAACATCAGTAAATATTAAAAAATACCATACAAAATCAGTAAAAAGCATAACAGCAAGCTATCCAACTTCAGCCAAAACGTTAGAGAGTTGCATTTAAACAAAGGTGCATTTATTATCAATGCAATATAGATGACACAGAGAAGATCCTCGAGTCTCTTGATTGTTGAAATAGTGCGTTTCTGAAAAAGTTCTTCTCCCATACCAATGAAAAATTTTACTTAATGTAGAACATTGGGAGACTTTTTCTATTACTTAATCGGCTTAGAACAAAATATTTATCTGCTTTCTACGGTCTACTGTACTGCTAGCCGATCTAACTTGGAGTCCTCTGAAGAAATCCAGCCAGAATAATATTCTGACGTTACTTAAGTGTCACAAAGATCAGATACGTTATCGTAGTTATTTAAACGGAAAGTGCAATATACATTGAATAATATTTTTCATATTGAAAATATTGCATAATATCTCTAGTATGGTCATTATGATTATTTTGAATGATATCTAGCATATGGTTACCGAAAGTCTTTTTCGGCTACATGATTATCCTAGAAAAGTTCAAGCGGGTTTTTAATGTAAGGTGGAAGTTATATTTCGATCTACATATGTGGCATGTGTACATCAAAAGCGAAATATCAAAGCTTTCGGGGTTATCAAATCGAGCGCGCAAAGACACGTGGAATAACAAAATTCATTTACCTTTTTCTTATTCCAGCAAAAGACGAGGGCATCTAATACACTCTCTTAAGAATAATCACTAAATTACTCCTCTGTTTTATCACTGGACGTGGCGAGCTTCCATAAGAGATATTGAACGTTATTAGTCACGCACAATGTAATTCCATATGATTTGTTGCCAGACTTTTACTAATTCCAAGGGAGCTCTCAGTCAGTATAGTGCATTGTGCTTGAGTGCCACGTACTTGAGTGCCACGTACTTGAGTGCCACGTACTTGAGTGCCACGTACTTGAGTGCCACGTACTCGAGTGCCACGTACTCGAGTGCCTCGTGCTTGAGTGCCACGTACTTGAGTACCTCGTGCTTGAGTACCTCGTGCTTGAGTGCCTCGTGCTTGAGTGCCACGTAATTGAGTGCGCGTACTCGAGTGCCACGTACTCGAGTGCCTCGTGCTTGAGTGCCACGTACTTGAGTACCTCGTGCTTGAGTGCCTCGTGCTTGAGTGCCACGTAATTGAGTGCCGCGTACTCGAGTGCCACGTACTCGAGTGCCACGTACTTGAGTGCCACGTACTTGAGTGCCACGTACTTGAGTACCTCGTGCTTGAGTGCCTCGTGCTTGAGTGCCACGTACTCGAGTGCCTCGTACTCGATTGACACGTACTTGAGTGCCACGTTCTCGAGTGCCACGTACTTGAGTGCCACGAGTTTTGTGTTGAATTTTTCAACTCATTTCAGTAATTTATCATAAAGATGAAAAAAAAGAAAAACTGGTCACTAGGTTATACACGCACGCTTGTATTTAAATCATATTGACATATTAAAATATTTGAAAGAAGGATCTGAAAATTGTTTCAGAATCGTGACAATACAATTGGTGTCAGTCCAATATCATCGGACCCGAATTTTCATTAAGCTATCATAGTCAATACTCTGCTCCACTCTATGCTAAGAGTATACACCGGTTAATCATAATGGAGTGTCAGTTGGGCCTTGGAGACCGTGTTTTGTGTCGGAATTAAGTCGCTGACGACGGCACATTTTGGCCAGTCTTTCGATGGGCGCCGTGGCGATGACCTGGAAGCTGTCTTGGCCTTTGGCTTCCTCTGTGGTCTCGCTATCTTGTCATAGTCAAACTTGTTTTTATTCATTCTCTTTAAAATTATTATAACTCATCGGATGCAAATTATTTGCTCATTTTTTCATGTTTAGTTTTTCTGACTAGGCTTGAGCTCTTTGTGAGCTTTGAACAGTAAAGAATTTATTACATGTACTTCCTTTTTAAATCATATTAAAAAGTTATTTCGACGTGTTAAGTGTTTCAAAACTCAATTCTGAGTATACCGACCATTTATTTTAATTACATTGAGAGCACTCGTGAAGTGATATTGAACAGACTAATTTTGTCATATTGCATGAAATTCTTAAATTACAGGCAATTATTCCATGTTATTATTAATTATTCCATAAATTCATAGCGAGTTTATTGTTCTTTCCTGCAGACTTTGCAGAAAATCCATTCAGCTTTGATCTTCAATTGCTAGCCGCTCAACAATGTGGTTGGCAGGATCGACGTTATTTTTGATCTGCTCGGTAATTCCGAAATTACATGGATTTCAAACTCGAGTTTGGGAGATATTCGAGATGGACATAACCTTACTACCTCCATGGTCGGTACTCCGGACTTATGCTTTGTCAGAAACTTCATGTCGGCTGCTCGGGAGTTCCCCCGACCTCCTAATAAACCTCGCCTGCTACAAAGACAACGAATGTCTGCTGGTCAACTCTAACCTCTCACTCGTCCGGTCAGCGCAAACTCCTGGTTGGGTTTGTCTCGAATCCCGAGGTTAGTGCCTACTTTGTTTTTTTTTTGTAAGTGCCTCTATGTTCATGAAAATAATAAAACTGCATTAAAGTTTACAATGATACGTCATAATAAGTATGATTGATGCTTACCGTTTCCAGTCAGTTATAAGGTGGATTGTATTTTAAAAATTGCGAATAGTGATCCAACTCAAAGCTATTTTTAATTTTACGACAAAGCAGATTAGCAGGCTAAAATTTTATGAGATGATGAGCTGTTATTTGCTGGTAGCCAAAAAGAATGCTGCTGGCAGACAATTTTCAAATTTATATTTGTATGGATTTACGACTATGATACTACTGTGACAGTGATTAATGAAATGAATTAAGCATTTCTTACTTTTGGCAGACATTTTATACTTTACCCACAAAATTAGTTGAATTTTTTAATTTACGTAATGAAATTTTTTTGGCCCAAAGACCTAGTGGTTGCTGGGTGAAAAAGCTGGATACATTTCAATTTTATTTCGTTCAAAATACATAAATTCAAGCGTTGCAAAACTCTTCTTCTTCTACTTGATAAGGAATGAAGTTGCATTCGAAACGTCGTAAAATTAAAATTACAATAAAATGTCCCTTGGAAACCTGATATTTGACTTTTCAGTTCCCATCAAGAGCCTAATTCACCGAATAGAGAAAAACAATAAGAAAATTGTCATAAGAAATACTCTCTGGTCTTCAATGAAACCTGCATAAATTTATTCAGTGTGCATCTCGTCCACGGGCGTGGCGGTCACTAAAGGCTTCCAGGAGGCAGACGCCGTGTGTCCTGCGAACTTCCGACGCGTCTGTACTTCTGATGGCATGAGAAGCCTGCGTGAGTTGAATTAGGACAAACCCTGTCGTCAGAGCTGGGCAGCGCTACTTTGAAATGTAGCGGCCGCTACTGCTACCGCTACATGCTCTAAATGTAGCTGCCGCTACGGCTACACGCTCTAAATGTAGCGGGCGCTACCGCTACCGCTACAATTGCTTAAATGTAGCGCCGCTACCGCTACCGCCACTGAAAATATAGCTGCCGTTAGTAGCGGCCGCTACATGTAGCGCGCTACTGTCCACCTCTGCCTTTCGTGTACTTTTCCATAAAACGATAAATTAACTGCATAATTCGTCCGGAATAATAAAAAATGTACTCCCTCTCTATTCCATTCTCGGTACTTTATAGCGACACGCTGGATACTGTTTCTTAACATCGATTGAACACTATTTAAAAAATGAAATAGTTATGCTTATAGCTTAAAAATACAGTTTCGTTAATACTGTGACGTTTCTTAACGTAAAATTTATTTGCCTTAGATTAATTGCTTAATTATATTAATTTATTAATTAGATTAATTAATACAATAATTTACCTTAGATTAGAGAACAACAGAATACGTTTAATAACGTACAATTGTTTTACCTTAGATTAATTAAATAATTAGATTATGCTCTAAATGTAGCGGGCGCTACCGCTACCGCTACAATTGCTTAAATGTAGCGCCGCTACCGCTACCGCCACTGAAAATATAGCTGCCGCTAGTAGCGGCCGCTACATGTAGCGCGCTACTGCCCACCTCTGCCTGGCGTGTACTTTTCTATAAAACGCTAAATTAACTGCATAATTCGTCGGGAATAATGAAAAATTTTCCTCCACTCTATTCCATTCTCGATACTTTATAGCTGGATACTGTTTCTTAACATCGATTGAACAATATTTAAAAAATGAAATACTTATGATCATGGTTTAAAATTACAGTTTTGTTAATACTGTGCCGTTTATTAACATAAAATTTATTAAATCAATTTACCTTAGATTAAAAAACAACAGAATGCTCAATGAATCAATATGCGTATTAAAAAATTCCCCAATTACTTTCTTTCCTAATTTTCTCAGCCTTGGCAAGCTTAGCTCATCCAAAGGCGACCAAATGCCAGCGTCCGTTCACAATGACAAGCTATGGCTGCGTGTTCCTAAACCTGAAGCCGTACACGCCGTGCGAGGCCCGTAGACTTTGTCTACTGTACGGTGGTGACCTAGCGTCTCCTGCAACACCCAATGACGTGAAAGCACTTCTCAATTACGTCCAGACTGATATAGGTGAATAATATAGATTATTACATGAGTTATTATTATTTGATTGATAATGTCGATATTTTTCAATAGAATACTTGTTTTGATTGCTATGTTGGCTCGTCGGCCGGCAATGGTGAGTTTGTTCTAAACAATGTTCTTATAGTCAACACTATTATTTCAATCTGCTGTCAGGCTGTGATTCATTATGGAATCATAAGTAATTTATATATAATTAAGTTAGTGAGTTCCAGATCACTAGATCCCATTGAATAATAATATCACTGAATATTAATGCATGTAACATGATGAAATTTATACTGGGAATCTAAGCTAATGCCCGTACCACATACAAATTCGTTCTGTAACTAGACTAATGTCTGAAAAAATTAGCTGATTAACCTTTGATATTTCATCAGGAACGCAATACCAAATCTGGATTGGGCTGTTCCGTTGGAACGGAAATTGGGAGTACATCCGGAATGGTCGGGATCCTGGCACCTTCGGTCAGGGGGACTGGGGACCGGACGAGCCCGATAACGGTCCCGGGGAATTTTGTGGGCGCGTCATATTTCACCAAGGCCAGATGATCGTGGGGGATCGGGCATGCACTTTTGCCTCTCAATCGCTCTGTGAAATTCATATTTAAAGTATTAATGTTTATTTGCTCTGAATCACGAATATTCACTTCTTTGTACGGTACTAGAAATCCTCAAGTGGAGTATCCCACAGTATGTTTTAAACGATAAAGAAAAAAGCACGCACATGAAATTTGTTTGTGTAATTAATGCATAACATATGAACGCACCAACTGTTCATAAAAAATTGAATTCAGCGCTAAAATAAAGCAGGAGGGATACACAAACAGGCTAAATAAAATAATGGTAGTAATAAATAACAATCGCCATATGTGCTTTTTTTGTTTGGTCATTATTCATATTTTAATATCGTTAAAGAAAATATATACAAGGTGCTGCCTTTAAAAATAATTTTTGCTTCAAGTTTTATCACAATAATGGAAAGTTATGATGATTTACACTGAACGTGAAAATTTTAAAAATTCATGAAAGTATAATTTAGAAGATTGTGGCTATCAAAGCTCAAATTTCTTCTAATCAATGCGGCTTATAAAATCTCTTAACTATGGGGAAAATATTTTAGAATTTTCCCTCTAAAAATAGCCAAACCTAACATGCTCATCTACTGATGCAAACAATGAAAGTTTGTAGATTGGCTGAGGAGGCCGTCGTTACACACATCTTTTCTTACGGTTATTGTTCCTTATTGTTCCTTTATTGCCTTTGTTCCTTTAAGACAAAGGACGATGAAAACGATAGAATGGTTGTACTATTAAGCTGCTCGTGATGGCATCGATGTTTAATGTACGCGTAAGCAGTGCAACTCTCATGAAGTTGATTGATTTGATTGCCTCGCACCCACTAATCAATTTTTCTTTCCTTGAACTGATACTGGAATACTAAGAAATTAGCAGAATTATAGTGTGTTTAAAAAATGAACAATAATCTTTTGTTAATTTATGATTTATATGTGATATTCAAGATCTCATTGCACAATCTTGCGTGCCAATTTTTCGTGCAATCGTGCTAAAAATCAGTATTCATTTAAACGGTCATCATCTAGCACTGATATGGGTTGGAAAATAAAGAAATGCATCTCAGTACTACTTGCTTGTATTTTAACCATTATTGCTAGTTTCTACCAACACTTTCATCACTACATATGGAAAGACAAAGTTTCTATTTATCTAAATAACACAATTTCATAACGTCTCAAAACTCAGCATTGAATTTAAGGTTAACACCAACTTCAACTGACCCTTATGTCAACAACATTAACTTATAAAGGATGAATTGCTTATGAATTTTTTTAATTAATTCACTTGCATTTATTTTTCCGTGTTTATGAATTATATTATCAATTCTCTGAATTGTACGCTAATCGTCTAATGTTCATCTAATTGATCAGTCGAGAAATTTCCCTTAAAGCGCGACCTTCTAATTTCAAGAATATTGGTTACCAAATAATTTCTTCAAATAATTAATATAATAATATCAATAATATATAATCAGTAATACTAATTTTTAAAATAAGTAATAAGTAAATGAGAATACAGGTGACAAATGATATCTTTTATAACTCGACTGTCATGCAGCTAATAAACTTTGTGGTTGAGCCTGAAGCTGCATTCCGCTAATGATGTCTCCAAATGAAATCACAGCACCATCAGCTCAGCATTAAAATTATTGTTCAACACTAAACCATACATAAAAAGCTAAACCATCTAAACATAATCGTTGTTTGTTAAGGATACTGTAAATTGTATTCACCTTCATTTTGTATTAGCATAAAACTGCTTGCTAATTATTTGACAGCAGTAAATAATTCATTAAAAAATTACTGGAGTTTGAAATAATTTATTTGAGCGATAGTGTGAAAATAAATGTACAACACCTGATTAGATCCGCAAAATATATCAAACAAAATTGAATTTGTTTAAATACAATTAAAATTGAGGGACACACACAATAAAATTTATTTCTCTCTTCAAAGTTGAGTAATTAAATTGTTATAAAAGAGCCTCCCATGCATCATGGGAGGCTCATTGCAGAACTTGTCCGGGTATACTGATTTGAAATTGCATCAAATTATTGCTTAGATAAAATAATTTGATTATATTGCAAGCAAAATATGAAGGGAAAACAGGATGGTGTCGTTCAACCCAATTGAAAATAATTAACGTGGTAATGGCGACACCAATAAATAAGCGGCCACTGATAACACGCCTATAATTTTCAAAAAGGTGTTGGTCCTTTGAGCGATTAGACAGTCTGAATTAGGGATAGGGATGAGCAAGAAAGATGTAAGTAGCATCTGAAACATTAGCAAAAAGTGGAAATTTCATCTGATGCTAAGGGTAGGAAAAATCGTGTAAACATGACTGAGTTTCAATTAATTTATGAACACAAAGCACGAAAATTGAAAGCTACTTCCAACCTGGATCCTGGCATCCATTGGCGTCTGAGAAGCCGTGGTTATCTTCAAGATTAGCTTTTGTAAAATATCAAAGTCTGATAAACATCATCAAGTTTGTTATTTAGGTGATTTGTGATTTTAAAATTTTATGCGCTGAAGAAAATAACTGATACAGCTTTCTAATTACTGATGTGAAATGGAATAACTTGAGAAGCACGAAAAAAATTGGATGAATTACATCTAAATTTTTATGAAAGATAGTTAAAAATTGGTTAAATGGAAAAAGGAATAAACTAACTACTGAAAACTTTTCTTTTATCTATGCGAAACATTTATTCCTCTAAAGAGCATACAAATATAAATTTTACCTGGAGAATTCGCAATTCAAAATCAACGAATGGATGTTACAAAATTTTAAGATGACATTGACAGATTCTCTTGCTTGTTAGACGCGAGTGAGTAATACGAGTACTGACAAATAAAAAGATCCCAATTATTCTTTCTAATCGCTCCTACTAAACACAAGAAAGTCTACGGAACGTAATAAAATATTTATGCATTAATAAATACATATTTATATATGTATTTTTTCAGAAATGTTCTAATTTCCACCTAGAGACAAAAATATAACACACACATTTGAAGGACCTAAAATGATCGCTCCGGCAATAACTTCAATGATACTCTTGACGAAACAACAGAAGTAATAGTGAGCGGAATAAAAAGTGATATTTTCCAGAACAACAACAAATTAGCTATCCTCAGTTCAGCAAACATTATTCTTATAATAAATTATTAGTAATACAGGTAAATAAATCATAGTTTTACGTACACGAAGCAGACTTAAAATAATTCTAGACAGTCATGAAGTGGAAGAGAATAAAATGTCCGACTTTAGGTCAGATCGTTGGAGTCGAATCGTCAAGCCTTAACTTATAGAAGACATTGGGGCCAAGAATTGTGGAATGATGTGTTAGAATTCTGAAAAAATTATCTTTTGGTATTACAAAAAGCTAAATAAATATTCTTAGCATTGTATCATCTTCATCATTATTCAATTACTTTAAATCCTGAGGATGGACATTTACATCCAACTTAAACTTCAGTCATGCATAAATAGATTGAATAGATTTTTCCTTTCTAAGAAGTTGAAAAAGCATCGCAGAGGTCAAGATACATAGCATTGCTTCGGAAATCCCAAGGCTCGGAATTAAAAATACCAATAAAATTAGAGGATATCTCGGGGGACTTGCTGGCTCCTTCATTTAAAGGATATCTTGAATGCGATGAACTTGTTGGCTCCTTCAACTAAATGATATCATGAATGATATGGACTTGTTGGCTCATTCAATCAAAAGATATCAAGAAAGCGATGGACTACCAAGGATCTTCCTTCATTCCAAGGATCTGAAACTGAATTTTAGACCCTCCGAAAAAATAAAAGGGGAATTTCCCACTTTGGGGGAAAATAAAAGGGGAATTTCCCACTTTGGGGGACAATACGAGGGGAATTTCCCACAACAATGAGAGGAGTGAAAATAATTTAGACAACAGCCTGAACATTTCCTAAGGGAGGAGGGGAAGGGAATTCACAAGATTCCTATTATTTATTAATATTTTATAAGACTAAATCCATTATTAAACGAACCATATATAAATTGACACTGAATGTAAAATAAGACATAACAAATTAGTAATAAATAAGGGTGTAAGAATGAAGAAAATACATATAATATTCAAGATTTCTGTACAACTTTCTAAGCTGTTTGAAATAACCGTGAAAAAACGGTGCAACCGTCATTCCAGTGACTGGCCGCCCCGTGAATTGAACCGTTTCGACGTTTTTTTCAAACGTGGTACGGGATGCTTGTATTAAATTTTGAAAAATCGGCGACACGATCCTTTTTTATGCGCCGGCCGGCCATTGAAGTGCCAGTAAGACCGTTTTACGGAGAGCTTTCGAACAGTGGATACACTGTTAGAAAAATTACCGTTAACGGTATTACCGGCGTTTCAGTGGCCGGTCAGCACGTGAAAAGAAACACAGTGTCACCATTTTTATTCTAATTTAACACTAGAAATCCGTAAAACATCTGATAAAAACGGCGAAACAGTTTATTTTCACGGGGCGGCCGGCCACTAGAACGCCAGTGGTTTTTCACCGTTTTTTTCTAACAGTGGATATAGGCTTGGCATCACCACATCGAACATTACTACATATTTGGCACTACGGGGCAGGACGGATGCTACGGGGACGTGAAAAATTGCTGAAATATTTGGAATACACTGAATTTGGAACAATTATTTATTGATTTTGAATAGGAAAAACTAGTATTAGTATTTTATGGAATAGGAAATATTAAGTTTTCAAGGAAGTTATATCTGCACCAATAACTCTTTCTCACTTGACATCTATATATTCAATTTTTCACGAAAATCCATTTTAAATCCATTGATTTTCATATAAAATGAATTTAGTTTAATCGAAAATGTATCAATTTCACAAAAAAAGAATCATAATTAGGAATTCAGCATAATCATAATTCGGCAATTGTAATTATAATTAAAGTTTCGATCTGACCATGCTCAATCATCCGATGCTGCTACTGATTTGTTATATACCAGCAGAAAATATAAATAATAGGTAATGAGCGAAATAAGACCAAATTCAGTGCATTCCACAAATTCAACACATACTCCTGATCAACTACGTTACTTGACTATCTCCGTCCGCATGAAATTATAAATAAAAACATAATTCTTATAGAATTATTTCATAGAACAAATTAGTAACTTAATATCTCTCCTCTTGAGGAACAAAATCAATGCTTCTCTGCTCCGAACTGCCTTGTATAAATCAATTGACTCTAGTTTAGTTAAACACATCCCTAGTAATTTTTCTATTTAGATTCTATTAATTTATTGAGTTGTTAATATCCCACTTAATCGGTCTGATGAACGGTAATTATTAAAGAAAAACGCTAGCATCAAATTTGTGATCTTCACGATTCCTAGTTATTTGATAAACAGACCTAGTAAAACGAACTAATTTTCGATCAAGATATATTTTTTTGACAAAAAAGTTCATATAGCAACATGTCTTCTAGAGTTTGATTTCTCTCAAGGATATTGATGCTCCGAACATGTTTACACTGATCAACAAGCACGAGGAACATTCAAAGAAACAAATATAATCAACAGCACCAAGTAACCGTAAAGCTAAGATTACAAGTTATTGCTGTGATTTAGAGAAGCCCTGTTCATTTTTGATTATGTTGGCATCTTTGAACTCGCACAAAATATCGAACATCAATCCATCGGATAACACACATTAAAATTGTTAACAGTTCACAACCTGTAATTATTCCTCCTTTACCAACACTTCCCATTCATTAACGATAACACTGCCACAAAAAAACTAATCCGTAAATTTTGATATCATGCATTTTACTTCAATCTTCATTGTGCGTATGCATTATATTGCTCATCATACCAGTCCCAAGATGGCTGATATTCATGTAGTTTTCGGATAGCTATTTTATTCTCCATTATTGATTAAATTCGTGCTATTCCCACTATAAAAGCTATTTTACTAACTACACAGAAGCAAATTGGGTGACATTAAAAAGAACGTAATTTTAGCTTCCTGCACGAATTATTCAGATTTAGCATAGTTGTCTTTTAAGTTGATTATACCATCTTCTGAAATTACTATAATTTTTTTACCCCCAGATGAAAAAAAAACAGCTAGTTCATAACTTTCTTATCCCCGCTTTCAAATATACGAACGTAACAAAAACTTCAGTCGTCCAAGCTTTTCAAAAACTTTTCCTCTCATATACAACTGTAATAGTCCAGTCCTTCAGAGCAGGGACACAGTTTCTTGAGAATTTCGTGCCCCATTGCAGCCATATATTTTCCTAACTCATTCATTTCTACTATATATAAGATAGTAAATATAATTCCACCAGTATTGCTCGGTCTTTCACTTCTCGGCTTTAAAAATTTCAATATATTTCTGCATCTAAAAAAAGATCTTCATTTAAACCTGTAGTAATTTCGCCCCGAAAATACTCTGGCACGAAGAGATCCTCCTTCACCTTTCCGATTGTCAGTTGCGGGCTTGGCTTTTTTTGCTGGAGTGTTGTTATTATCTTCTTTGACTCCTTCCATCCAACTGACACCTTTTATACTTCTTCCAAGCCGCGATGACTTGCTTTTTCCTCCTTTGAAGGGCGGTACTATCCTCTCTTTCCTTACATTTATGGATACATCTTCATTTTTATCCATGTCAGAGCGACGTGTCTCTTCAAGGAGGATCTTTTTCTTCGATGTTTTCTCTATCCCATGTAAATTCGTTACCCCATCTCCTTGGGAGCAGCTAAGAATTTCGTTACCAATTCTTTGACCATCACAGTTTTCTCGGTCTCGAAGTGCTGATGGCTCGTGGCCGATCCGAAGTCCTGCAGGCAGCAAGGATCTGTAGGACCGAACAGTGGCCGTGGAAGCCGAAGATGAGGAGCAGGATGACAAGTCCAACTCTCGACTCAGAGATCCTTCTCGGGAAGATTTACTACTCGATAACGGGTCGTATTTTGAACCTGGCGAGTTACTCTCAAGCGAATTGTAATTAGGGGAAGGTGACTTGCAGAAGAAAGATTCCAGTTTAGACAAAGAATTGGTATACGCACTTGAGCCGGTTTTCTTCGAGCTAGACGATTTTGACATTGTCTGACTTCTGTGAAAGGACAAATATTTTTTGTTCCCGGTGGTTGACTCCGAGGTGATTGGCAGCGTTTTAGTGTGCGTGAGGGATTTACTTATCTTACTTGTGGTTGAAGATGAACCATCGCAGGCACTGGAATGACACGAACTGGCAGTAAATGAAATGGACTTAGTAACCTTAGTTTCAGCTGACGATAGGGCAATGGACGCGCGAGAGAGTGTAGACTTTGAGGAACTTGAAACACTTTGCGAGGAAACTGCACTTCTGAAGGACACAGAGCTGTTGGTGGATAATCTACTAGTGCTACTACGGCTGCTGCAATTGGAGGAAGTACTTGCGATGCTTTTGCTGGAAGATGCCGGTCGAATCACTGTCTCATCGGGCGTCCCGTTAGACTTCTTAGCTAGACGAGACGAACTCGACGATGACTTCGGCAAACTACGTATCTTGGACGAATTCTTGTTCTTGGACGAAAGGCTTTTGGTGGAGACGCTTTTTGTCATAGGCCGGTTTGACACCGTAGATTTTGCAGCAGTTTTCAAACTCGAGCTGCTTCTGCTGCTTGCCATAGCAGCGAGAGGTAACTCGGTTGAGCTGTCGCCTGTGTAGCTATAGAAAAAGTACTTGGGATTTTCTCTGTACGAGAATTTGCTTGGTAGCTTGGCCTCATTAGTAGTCGAAGTAGAAATTTTCTTACCTGGCTTTGCGGTTGACTTCTTTGCCTTGGATTTCAAGCCTTCCTGTGCAGGAGCTAATGTATTTCCGGTTTCCTTTGAATTCACAGGATGCTTTGTGACGTGATCATTCTCATGCTCTTCCTTTACAATGCAGTTATTAGGGGTCTTTTTGTCCTTCATGTCGCTTGGTATTTTTTTAGAAGAGTCTTTCGGCAAAATTAGATCGTACTTCATTTCATGTCGTGTACGAGAAACGACTTCTTTCGTGCCAGTTTGTTCGCATTTTGGTGGGTCAACCATAAATCTAGAAAACCCTACATCTTTTCGTACAGCTGCGTCTCTTGATTTATAAACTGGAGTACTTTTGCTCAATCTTAAAGCTGAATGGACCGTTGTAATAGATCCATCGGTTTCGTCTCGGCATATTTTAATTTCGACCTCCGGTTCTGCACTTGACATTGGGGTTTCTCCCTCACACCTTGCCTGATCGTTCCATGAACAACCTCCGTGATCTTCTTCATACTCTGATATTTTTCGGTAAAAACCTATTCCATCTTGCGAGTCGTCGCGCTTAGAAAATGATGAACAACAATAATGTTCCTCACAATCAACTTGTTCACCATCACTTCCATTATCACTGTCATCGCTATCTTCGTTTCGACGTGCTGCTTCCCCGGGTTTGGGGAGTAGCTGGAAGTAACATCGAGGTGATGACTCATTTACTCTCTCCGACGGGGAATTTGGCGAGGACGGAGGAGTGTGAGGAGTGAGGGACGGAATACGGGGGGAAGATCCCCCACTGTTAGGCGGGAAAGGGGATGCAAGAGAAGACTTGAAGGAAGATAACGATGACGAAGAAAGGGAAAGAGAGGATGATGATGATTGGGAAGACAACGACAAGAATGATGCAGTGGGGGAAGATGAAAGTGGGGAGGGTGGGCAAATGTCAGAGGGAAGCTCCAGCTGAGATAGTAGCCGCTGAGCGCCCCTGCAAGAGAAAATGTTTCAGACTAGACAAGTTAAAGAACGTTAAGCTTATCAATATCTAGAACTATTTTTCCATAATCAAAGCCGCATGAAGAAAGTTTATCTCTTAAATGTGCGGAGTGTAGCGTGTTTAGCAGCCATGATTCTTATGTATCTAACGATATCAGTTGGGTTCAGCGATCATTGTATTAAGCTCATGAATGCACTATCGTCTACACTTCAAAAAATAATTAAATAAAGTAATTTCTTAAACTTCGTTCCTGAATATGAATGAATAAGCGTAATGACCTGGTAACACTTGTATTTAAAAAGATAAATGCCTGATTATTTGTTCAGCATTTAAAATAAAAAAATATGTATTTTCACATCCATCTTACCTCAACCGTATGACAGAGCGTCTGTCAGTCTGCCTGTCTGACGTCACCTCAGAGCACTCGGTGATGGTTGGCAGTCGCGCGATACCTTCCTGCATTGCACAAAAAAAATTCAGTTAATTACATGCATGAAGTAAAATTTTATTTGATGCACGTTGAACGCAAATAACCCCTACTACCTGGTGAAAATTTCTGAAAAATCTTAAATGTTAATACTTGTTTATACAAATGATGTTTGGTAGTATAATTTTAAGGATGTCAAAACTCATCATCGATTAATTCCGCCTTATAATTGACATTATACATTATAGTATGGAATTTAATTCATTCATGATGCGCAATTTAGTCAGAAATACGAAAATAATCGACAATTAGTGTCTATAAAGTAAAGGTATTGAAATACTTTTGCATAGCAGAAGATAGTTGAATGTGGGTCACTTTTACCGTAGAGTTAAATAGAAGCAAACTAGGAAACAAATTGAACTCACTAAAAATTGAGCGAAAGTTTGTTCATCTACGAGCTTTTGCTCGTGATTTAATTGGAAAATAAATACTTTTAAAAAAGTTTTTCACTATATAAACAAAATGATACCATTAATTTTTCTGACTAAATAGCTGCGTCTTTAGTCAGAATACGCAGAATATTTTTTCTAACCCTTACCTGCGGTGCAATTTTATTCTCTCTAATATGAACTCTAATATTTCTGGCGCCCAGTGGCATGGGCTCAGCGATGTAGTAACCGTGACGTCGTAACGTCTCTGGCAGTCTGGGGTCGTGGGGGTATCGTGATACGACGTGCAGAGACGTCCCCAGTCTCCGAGAGGGCCCAGAGGGACTGAGGGGCCCACAGGGACTGAGGGGCCCACGGGGACTGAGAGGACCCCGGGGACTGAGGGGCCCTCGGGGACTGAGGGGCCCACGGGAACTGAGGGGACCAAGGTGCAGGCCCGAGCTTGCAGGAGGGGACAAGATGGCGGGCTGAGAAGAAACAGGCTGGGACGGTAATCCCAATGGGGACGGAATTGTTTTGATGGACCTCTTCCCGGGAATCTGAAAATAGTTATTAATAATAAAAAAAATATAATAATAATAATAATAATAATTCAAACATTTATAATTTTGCGACAAGGTAATGATATTAGATACGTAGCGGAATCATCACTAATCCGCTTCAATTCAATAATTACTCGCTAATCACTTTTATTCGTATAAATCAGTAAATTAATATTCAATAACACGTCACGCATGACGCGGCAAGATGGCGGAGGGTGACTCACCGCGGGGGGGCGGGGGGTGCGGACGCGGCCGGCTTCGCCGTCGCTACAGGAACCTGCTGCAGTAGCATTTATAAGTTATTTATTATATCAAAGATTTTATGTATTATTTCATAACAATGTTAGTTTTTGAGGTATTTTAAGTCGAATAATTAGTTATTTATTATCTCAAAGCTTCAATGCATTATTTCATAACAATGTTAGTTTTCGAGGCATTTTAAATCAAAGACAGAAAGTATTTTTTAATATTTGAGTTCAGTGTGGTTGCGATCAGGGTATTGAGTGAGTGAGTTGGAGGTTCGATACCTGAAGCTAATTGTAAAATTATGGTCGATCGCGCCTGCTGCGAGAAGTATTAATTATTTATTATCTCAAAAATTTTATGTATTATTTCATAACAATGTTAGTTTTTGAGGTATTTCAAATCAAAGACAGAAAGAATTTTTAATACTTGAGTTCGGTGTGGTTACGATCACAATATTGGGAGAGTGAGTTTGAGGTTCGATACTTGCAGCTAGTTGTAAAAATTACGGTCGAAATCCTCAAATTTATCGAGTAGTTAAGAATCAGGCAACAGGCCAACATGGCCTAAACAAAGCTGACATCCGTATATTACTATATTATTAGTATATATCACCCTAGCCTTCATCGAGGTAATATAAAATAGAAAAGTTGAACATCCAAACAACACAGATATTTTATTCTCTAATTTTATTCCTTCAATAACATATCACTAAATAAAACCAAACTCTTATAATACAATTGATGTTTCTCATGCCTCACCAGACAAAACAGAATTAACGGAAGAAAATGAATGGAGGGATTGAGAGGCTGGCAGTGAATCCGCTCTGTCTCTTCGCCTGTCTTGCCGCCTGTCTCCCAGACAGAACTGACTCACAGACGACGGGATGCCTGAAGTCGACTGCCGCAGACGCAGGATCTTCGCCCTGCAGACGACGCAGCGCAGAGGCAGCTGACGCTGCGATACTGCAACCTGAGGNTTTCGCCCTACAGACGACGCAGCGCAGAGGCAACTGACGCTGCGATACTGCAACCTGAAGAACGATACGATCACGCGTACTGTCGGCGGGAAACACTATAAATTTTACGATAAAATCCGTAAATTGTGCGGTCAACACCGTAAATTTTACGATAAAAACCGTAAATTGTGCGGTCAACACCGTAAATTTTACGATAATAACCGTAAATTTTGCGGTAAACACCGTAAATTTTACTATAAAATCCGTAAATTTTCCTGGGAACACAGTAAATTGTGCGGTCAATACCGTAAATTTTACGGTCATTACCGTAAATTTTACGATAATAACCGTAAATTGTCCGGGGAACACAGTAAATTGTACGATAATAACAATATTTACGATGAACAATAATAATAAATAATATTACGGACAATAATAATACCAAGGATAATAATTACGATAAATTGTCCTGGGAACACAGTAAATTGTGCGATCAATACAGTAAATTTTACGGTCAAAGCCGTGTATTGTAAGGTCAATGCCGTAAATTTTACGGTCATTACCGTAGATTTTACGGCCATTACTGTAAATTTTTCGGCCATTACCGTAAATTTTACGACGGGAACACAGTACATTTTGTGGTCAACATAGTTCATTTTACGGTCAAAGCCGTGTATTGTAAGGTCAATGCCGTAAATTTTACGGTCACTACCGTAAATTTCATGATCAGTTCCGTAAATTTATTATCAATATCGTACATTTCAAGGTCAACACTTGACCTGGTCACACCGTCTTGTGAACGATGTGGTTTCTTTCCCATTTAACAATGAATTATTAAGCCTCTTATTCCTCATAGAAGGAGAAAAATGTCACCAAAACAAATTTTGTCAGACCTAACCGCAGTTACCAATTACCGCAATTTTTAGGTTAAATAAACTTATCTTACGAATACCATAATCAATATCTATTTCATCAGGTATTTAATTATTTCATTTACCTGGATTGTTTTAACAAAACATTTCCTGCACACGACGCGATGGCCGCACGGGAACGTCTGCATCGTCGCCTTCGCGTTCACGCAGATCACACACTGAAATGTTTTTTAAAAATCTCAGTCTATCCTGGCATTATTTGTATCTCTAACTTCTTAGGCTTATTTCTATAGGCTTATTTCCATAGACCAGAAACATGGTCTTGTTTATATATGGTGCCCAGACTCGGCAATAATGGGAGGCTGGACATCGCGTTTAAAAGAGTTATCCTTAATATGAACGGGTCACGCTAACACATATTGATCGAGGTCCCATTATGAGATCCGGAAATAAGTTTGCATCAAAAAAACAGAACCACATCGCTGCATATTTGACAGTTATGTCCTTGAGTGATCAGATAATATCTTGCTCGGATGACGTGACTCTGGCTTGGATGTTAAAAGTTTCCTTTTTATTGAATTTTATCATAACAAAACAAAAAAGAAGAATCAAGTTCTTAAGATCGTCGCGGGTCATAATTAAGGCTCTGTATTTTACATAAATGGATTTTCACAATTTATTTTTGCAAAATTTATAGCCAATTTATGTTTTCAACTTTATAAAATAATATGAGGGCAAAACTTACATTAAAAGTTACAATTAAAATTCCATATTGGCATCGTTGTGGACACTCGTGGCATCTAGGGAGACATCAAATGGTAAGGCCTCAGCTATGAAACTTTCCAGAGTTGAACTCTAGCTCCAGAGAAAAATATTTTTCGAGTTTTGACTCAAGGCGTCTTAGGAAATTCAATTACGCGTGTCTGTTTGTCTTCTCTTTACGTTACTTTAATTCAATATAAGAAGTAATAATGCACACTGCAGCGCCAGCGCCGGGAACTTCACTCAAGTTGCAATGGCAGACGGACGCTGCATGGCGACTAGATACCTTACGAAACAGCGACTAGATACCTTACGAAACAGCGACTAGATACCTTACGAAACAGTGACTAGATACCGTACGAAACAGTGACTAGATACCGTACGAAACAGTGACTAGATACCGTACGAAACAGTGACTA